ATACTTGAAGCAAGCACGCCAAATTTATGCTTAAGATAAAAAACTTTTTCTTTGACAGGTATTCATAGGTAGGATTCCTCATGATTGCTTCGAAGATACTCTGGTACCGCTGTTTCGGCAGGCTGGCGAATTGTTCGAGTTCCGACTGATGATCAATTTCTCCGGTTGGAATAGGGGGTGAGTCTAAAAACTCAGATTATGGTTTTCAGCATTTTGTCAACGGTTTTGTGTATTGGTTTTTCATTTTCAGATACGCATTCGCTATGTACACAAATGACGCTGAAGCGAGCAACGCGATCCGAATGTTTAATAACTACATGATCAGACCATCTTGGCAGTTGGGTGAGGGATAAATGACATTTTTAATTCGAATCCTGTATAACATCTAATATAAATGAATCCTATATTCATAAAAAAAAAAAACATTCTTAGGAGTATGCCCGTCGATCAACAACTGCCGTATATTTATATCACGCATACCGCCGACGACGCCCTCGGCGGAGATCGTGCGTCTGTTGTACGCACTGACCGATGAAGTGCAAGAGGTGCGCATACGACGATCGATCGCGTCTTGCGCGGCCATTGTGGAGTATAAGTCGCACCGCGGCGCCGCGATGGCGCGCAAGGCGCTGGTTGCGGCCGCCGCGGCCGCGTGGGGCTGCGGCGCGCGCCCCGCCGTCGACTGGTCCCTGCCGCAATCACCGCAGTTGCTCAGGCAGTATCGGGAGGTTATAATGACGCATTGTACTTTTTATCATTTTTTCTTTTGTTTTAATGATAGGTAATTGGGATGTTGTCTACGATTAAAATACAAGTTTCTGTATATATTCGAAAATTATAACCGAAAATTTTAACTGAAATTTTAAATTAAAAAAAAAAACCGGAAAATATATTACAATAATTTTCTATATACATAAAATGTAATAACTTTCATTATGACAACTATACACTTAAACACACAAATAATGTTGATTGTCCAGACGCCCATACGTTTTTTCAGTATCTCCGAAATTTGAATTTATTCGGAAACATTCGAAGCTTATTTCACAATCATCATTATCGTCATCATCAGCCTTTTTACGTCCCCACTGCAGGGGCTCGGGCCTTATTGGATGGTTAAGGAGAATGGGCCATGGCAATGTGGAATGTAGGGTATTAACGTCTGCAAATGCAGCCGAGACCAACGGCTTAAGGTGCCTTCCGAAGCACGGAGTAGTTCGGAGTCACCCATCCCAATTCCGATCCTAGCGAAAGTTGCTTAACAACTTAACAACAGCGGGCGCTCACCCACTCCGCTACCGAGCTACTCACAATAATTTAAAATAATAAAAATAAGTTATAAAAGATATGAATGTTTGTTAGTTGGTTACGCTTAATTATTAAAGTCGCTTAACTGACTTTCATAATTAAACGGAAAATGTTGATCTGCCTAAATTAGTACTTTGACACGACTCGAGCAACTTACATTGTGCGGTTCCATAACCGTATAAAGTGTGTGTATGATGTAGGTGGGTCGCTGGAGCCCGGAGCGCGGCGTGGAGTTGATGCGCGCCCCGGAGGAGGCGGGCGTGTGCTCCCCGCCGCCCGCCGCCGCCGCGCCCTCCTACACGCTGGAGCCCTGGTCGCAGGCGCGCCGTCTGCGCATGATACACGAGGCGCAGCGGAACGCCGCGCACGCCGCGCACGCCGAGTGAGTACCAATATGAAGCCAACATATTTGATTGAAACGTATAGAACATCACCGGATTAGTCTCGATCGCCACCAATATTGCGCTGGAATATACAGATATAATTCGCGCATGTGTGTATAAATATAAATACGTAAGTTTATTTTCGTGACTCTATAACTCTCGATTCGCACAAATGCATTTAGATAATAGCAAAATCAATTATAAGGTCGGGATTATTACTTGTATTTTCGTATGCGTTCACACTAATAAAATTTGTACGAAAGGAAGTCCAAAGTGAGCGTGGCCTTATACTGTGGATAACGTTTGGTTATCGTTCTCTCAGGTGGTCTAACCGTATCTCGGGCATGGAGTCTCTGGTCGCGTCTATGTCCAGCCTGAGCGGTCTGGGCGGCGAGGGCGGGGTGTGGGCGCCCCCCGCGGCCCCCGCCCCCGCCCCCGCCAAGCGCGCGCCCCCGCCGCCGCCCACCGACTTCAACCCGTGGACCGCGCGACATCCGCTGCAGGAGTTCATCGCGCACGCTAAGGCCGACCAGTGAGTTTTCACTTCAGTATTGCTCACTATAGGTACGCGTCCATCACTGGTGATCGCTCATGGTGTTCGTTGAATACCATGGTATTATACAATACATTTCTCTTCAGGTAAAGATACCTCAAACATCGGTTCATAGTTACTTTAATAGGCGCTCTACCTCTTGCTATCATGACATAGGATACATATAATTATAGCTATCGTCATAAAAGAAATATCCATATGGAGAACGTATACCTTTCGTTATCGTTGGCCTCCTGACCAGTATTAACGAACCTGATGGTTTGCAAGCTTTTCCGTTGGTGTTTAGATTTGTGCTTGGGAGATTTTTTGATAGTATGCTAAATATCAAAAGTAGCGTCTCTTTAATAAATGGCGTTATTAGACGCTATAATTTTAATCTGGTTTTTATTTTTACTGACCCACATATTCATTTAAATCAACGCATTTGCCATGTTATGTAATGGAAACTATTTTAAAATGGTTTTGTCAGAAAGTTTCCTATGTGTTAATATTATATTCTAATAGCGCTTTATATTATAACTCTTAACCAGAAATATGATTTTTTTTCTCTAAAATCAGGTGCTTGTGTCTTTTTAACGCTGGTGATGGGCGTGTATTCTTATGAGACGATAGACTGTCGAGAAGTCGTGAATCGACATGTTATCGCAATACAAACCACAAGTCGATATTTTGTCATTTTGTACAAATTGCTTATAGTTACGCAATGTTTGTTTACTCGCCCTTTTCTATTATCAGTATTGTCACAGAGACATCTCGGACGGCATTGACATTTTTCTACATATCTGTATGAGCATAGATCACAGATAAACGTTAATATCTTTCAAAATATATCATTAAAAAGTTTTTATCCAAAACTTAAATCATCATATTTTTTTCTCTTTCGTCTTTATAATATCAGTTTGGATTCAGGATTATTAAATAGAGAAATAAGTTTCATTTTATTAAAAAAGAAAGTAAATAGCGACAGTGGGGGAACTAATTATCAATAAATATTTGTTTAAAAATCAAACAGGAGAATGCAATATAAAAACAAACAGTGCGCAACTAAAGATGTCGCCGGTATAATTAATGTTTGTTTTATTTTTGTTTCTTGTGATTAATTTATTGCATGCTATAATAATTAAGTAAACATACTTGTCTTGTTTGCACTGTGCACCCGTGCACGTGGTGTTATTGTGGTGGAGTGCAAGAGCTTGTGTTCAATGTGCATGTTGTACTAAGGTCTTGTTAACAAACTAAAACTAAGTACTAATATTACTCACGTTCGATCATGTCCGTTGAATTGTAACCAAGTAAATGTATTATTTATTGTTGCAAAAAATATAATATTTAATGTTGCATTACTTTATTGGCGTATTTTATCTAACTCTTTTATTAAAATTCCTGCTGTGTCTGTTTATAAATCTTCAACAAATATCGTCGAACTATACGCTGTATGTAATTTAAAAAGTGGTTTTTGGCTTGTTAGTCATTTATAAACGTAAGATTAGATTTTTATTTATGAATATTAGGGATCTATGAACTTTATCATATTATCCTAAATAAATTTTAATTTGCTATCTGTAATGAAATGCTAATATAAAAAGTGGATAAATGTATTTTTACTGATACTTATATACATTAATAGATAATAATCAGAAATTAGGGTGTGAAGTTTTCTTATGTTTTTTCCTGATTATTTATATAACTGAATCAATTATTATAATAATGTTTGTTTGTTCATTAATGAGAAGAAATATATTAATAATTACAACAAAGCGCACTTTGTCAACATTGCTTTGTAACAGTAGTACGGCGTTACTTGCGCAGAAATAAACAGCCTGCAAATATCTAAGAAATCATACTAAATAGCAAGGTAAAGGGTTCTTTGCTGATCTAATACATACAACTGGAGAACTGTGTTACTAAAACTTACAGATGAGCCGCCATATAAACAACGTGACATAGGGCAATCTCTTGCACTCCCTGGTTAAGGCATAATTAAGAGAAGAAAAAATGATTTTTAATTTTCGACATTTTGTTTTAATTTAAATGTATTTAATTAAGAATCCAAATGAATGGCTTAATATTATTTATGTATTAAATTTTTAGCTTTTATAAGTCAATATCGGTATATTTAAGCATGTGTCTACATTGTTACGATTTAAGGGCAACTGTAAACTAGGATAGGGTTTGCTCGCTTGCCGCCTGCCCTATCTTACTATTATTGCACTGCTGGTAATCTGCATTTTTTGATGTTTTTTCAACGAAATAATAATAATATTCATGTTGTAGTATACTATTTGTGTACAAATAAGTCTTATTATAAAATCAGGTTTTAAGTAAATCAATTTGGAACTGTTTTCTCAGCAATGGTTAACACAGCATTATGAAATTATCTATCTACTAATAATTAACAAAATCTAGAAATTTTGTAACGAGACAATATGAATTTATGTGTCGTGTGTTTTATGAGGTTTTTAAATAATATTGCATGCCGGTATGTATTAGTAAATAAATTTAAGTATAATGGTTTAACATGTCGTTTTATTTTATGCTTAGCTAACTATTTTTTGTGTGCTTTATGTATGTGTTTTCGTTGCTTACAAATCGGGGCATTGTAGGCTTGCAAGTGGTGCACAGGACAACTAAATGTTATGCACGTTGATAAAGATGTTTCCGCTCGAAGTATTGCATGGCGGTGGTTTGTGCTTGGTGTTTTCCTACAATGCCTCGAGCGGACAGTGTCGTATAAACTGAACGCCTTCAAACACGATATTGCGCCCGCGCAGCGTGGCCGCCTCACCTCTGGCTATGGATTGTCAAGTCTGATATTTTGGCGCGAGTTCGTAAACAGTGAAAACTAGTGGTGATAGTGTTGGCGTAATCGTGCGCATCTTATCGGTGCGTTATGGCGGTCTGCGACAAGTGGGTCGCACTTAAGATAGTGGAGTTTGTGAGTGTTTCTCTTATATTTTTGTGCAACTTTTGACTGGCACTGGATTTGGTGCACTTCAAAATTTTAAGTAAATTGTAGCGTGCATCACGTGGATTATAAATTGGTATATTGTTTTTCACGTTGCTGATTCCCCTTCTGTTAGGATTTGGGGCAACGAAAGTGACTTTGTTTATAAAATAAGAGCAAGACAACTAACGGAGCTTCTTTTAGATTTTAAATTCCGTTGTGTAGTGGGCATGCTTGTTGCTGAGAATCAATTGATCGTGTTTTTTGTCATCATTGATCTTTGATCAGCTATTGAGGACTAGGGATTGTATGACCAGCAAATTTACATTGAAGTTTACCGTATCTGACTTACGGGATGACTCTAATATGATAATAATAGAGTGACCAGTAAAACTATTGATTAATAATAAACATATATTTAATATATTTGATAAATTTTGCATAGTATATGTTCTATAGTATAAATAATGAACTAATTTAAGTTTCGAGTGAGCAAAAAAAGGCTTAGTCGTGGGTTTATTTATAATTATTGCCGTACTATGAACCCAGTATAATATTTTGATGACTTCATTGTATCTTTATAAACAAAAACAATGTTGCTCAGACAACATTTCGTAACGATTGGAATTCGCTTGTTTATATTAATCGCACACATACGTATTACGTTAGGTGACGAGAAAGGCTCGTGGTATAAGTCAGCTGCGGGTCGCGTAGGTACTATTGGTTGTTGCGACAACCAGTCCACATGTGATGTAACACCTTGTAAGTTGTGGCCCTAGAACATACAATCATTTTTTAATGTTAAATATGCGCACGCGCAAGCCTTGTAAGACCACTTGATCTAACTAAATAAATATGTATGGATGTCCCATGATGTAGTATGAATAAAAATAGAATTTTGTTGCGGAGTATTGTCTGCTTATAAAATGATTTATTGTTATAAGATTAAATGGATGATAAAGTTTGTATTTGGTATCCTAGTATTAAAGATTAAATAATCAAGTACCTACACACTTTCCTGTAGTTAGAAGTATTGTGCTTTCTACAACGCGTAGCGTGCCTTGAGGTCCCGTATAAAAATGTTGGGGGGCCCTTATAAGGGTAAAAATTTTTCACAAAATGTTCGACGACGATGTATGTTCACCGATATTGTTGACCGATTTTCAAAATTCTATTATACAAATTTTTATTCGATAGCTTGATGGATCGAGGTAGTCCTAAAATATTTTATTTTACTAAAGATAGAAACCAACCTGGCTCACACCGGTTTGAACTCAGACGATCTAAGATTTTAATGATCGAACAGATCAAAAATTTTAAACTTTCCCATTTAAATTTTATCGAAATCGAATAAGTAGTTTTCCTTTTAAAACAAAACAAAATATGCTTTCCAACAGATATTACCTAAACAATAGGGGATAGAGTATGAAATTGCCGATTTGTACTAAAAATCAAAATTATTTATTTTTTACAAATTTATTTAATCAAAATAATAACCATTATTATCTATACATCGATGCCATCTAATAGGAAGGTCATTTATGCCTTTACGATAGAACTCTGAGGATCTAGACTGTACAAACTGTGTGAATGCATTTTGTACTGCCTCCTAGGAAGAAAACTTCTTGTTGCTTTTGACCAATTGTCCAAATCACGAAAAAATGGTAGTCCCTTGGAGCAAGGTCTGGCAAATACGGAAGGTGACGAATGGTTGGACGACTAACTGCAGTTCCTGAAGGGGTCAAAACAATTTCTCGTGCTATTTGAGGTGTCGCATTGTCATAAAGCAATAATGGTGAAGATCGATTCATGAGTCGGGGCTGTTTTACTGCTAGTGTGTGTTGCCAACATTGTTCGGAGTTCGGCACAATAGATATCTGCCGTTATTGCTTGATCAGATCGGAGAAAACTATAGGGAATAATACCATGCTGTGACCACCAAACAGTTACCACTATCTTTTTATTGGTAAGTTTAGCTTTAGGACACTGTTATGGCGTTTGACCTAGGGTCAGCCATTGCATTTTCTTTTACGATTATCATAAAGAATCCACTTTTCATAATTCGATCCAATATTCCTTCATTTATGTACCGATTCAACAAGACAGCACAAGTTTCAACACGTGTTTCCTGTAGATCAGGGGTTCTCAAACTTATTTCTTCTCCTGCCCCCTTTGACAATAAATTAAATTATTTATTGTGAATTATCTTAGCGGAGATTAAACATTCATACTAAACGAGACTTTTACTATAACCGGCAAGAGTTGACTTGAGACCTGAGCGCAGTAAGTAGTACAGGAGTCTTAAATTGACTCTTCTTGAGCCCCTTCGCGATGCCCCCATTTTTTTCTGGGTCTCTTACCGTCCCCTCGTGGGTGCTGTAGGCCTAAAGGGGGCGGTTTTCTGGATCTCTTACCGTCCCCTTTAGGCCTGCAGCACTCACGAGGGGGCGTTATCGCCCACTTTGGGAAAGGCTGACGTAGATGAAAGGCTTTTAAACCGGTTCAATAGTTTCGGGCTTATCCAATGCAAACAAACAAGCAATCAAATCTTTCCTCTTAAAATTTTACTCCTATCATTTAATTAATAACCTACATGAGTTCAATATCATTATCTTGAATAAGTCGCTTTTGAGATTAGTTTTATTTATCACATTTTTAAAGTTTGAAGTTGGTTCTACTCTTTATAAAAAGTTCTCACTGGCGCAAATGTTTTGTTTGGAGTCCCGCATACTAGAGTCTATGGTCCAGAAAGTGTGTGCCACAAAGGCCGCTTGCCTGCGAGGTAGCTCCTGATGCGGTGTGGCTTGTGGTAAAGCATTTTCCCGACGAACAATAATATCTTTTAAGAGCGAATCGGACGCACGCCTTTAGCGTTCCATGCCAATAACTTCAAATTAAATTTCTATCGAATGCATTACCAAAATTGCTGGCGTTCGTCTATATGTTACCATGGTGCTCCTATATCATGAACCGTGATAGTTAGATACTTAGTTGAAATTTATTCAGATGATGCATTTCTGTTACCTCTATAACAACAAATACTAAAATCAGAATAAAATAAATATTTAAGGGGTTCTCCCATATGTGTGTGAAGTGAATGACGAATACATATCTTGATGATAGTGGAAGATGTAGGAAAATATCAGAAAAAAGTAATAACTGAGCTAATTACACGAAAATTGGCAACCGTGCGTTAGTGAACTGTTTGTTTGTAGGTATATCAATGTGTTCATTGATACTGTTTGAGCCATAGATGTGAACAGTGTTGGATTAGGTAACTTGTCTAGTAACCTTCAATTGGTTGATGAGTACTATCGGGCGAATATCACATGGTATGTAGAATTAGGGATGCCATATCAGGTTATTTTACATATCTAGAGTGCAGAAGCTAACGGTTAGGTGTGTCATACTGAAGTTTTAAGACCACTCAATGTCGGTGGCATGAAGACATGCTTGAAAAGACCTCACAGTTTACGGTACAAAAATATTAAAAAACGCCATATGAAAAGTTGTAATATATAACCCTCTCAATGAGAGGATTTGGCAGCGCAGTGTCTGTACAGTAATAGTACAGGAACAATCCAGTCTATGGCTATGTGCAGGCATAGCCATGTAAGAAATTTTGAGCTGAACTGGCATGTAGACCTTGAGTAATCTTGACACTAGGCGTGATGAGTTGAAAGCCCGGCAAGCTGCTGCCACTCACTTCTACTACGAAGACGGAGTACTGGCGTAGTCTATTTGCTCGCGGGCGTTGTTTAATGGATCAGGTATGTTAGCCATTAGAGAGGATCAGCGCCAACCGGACTAAGAATCGAAATCTTTTTTTTACAATTGCGAGTGTCACATATTATAAACGCCTGAGCGTTAGTAGTAAATGGTTTTGTGTGAGTAAAATAAATTATATAAAATAATATTCTTAAGTAAAAAAGGTGAGAGTCCGCTAACGGCAGTAATAGACGCTCTCAGACATGAATTTCAAAAGTGAGAAAGTTATCGATTGAGCTTTCTTTAAAACTGAGTGGTGAAGAATCAGAATTTTCATAAAGTGTCTGAAATGGAGTAGCGAGATACGCTCGCGCCTCGGCGTGGTAACTAACGCGCAGTTTGGTTTTCGAGTTTTCGGCGATTTTCAAGTTTCAAAGTATTTGATCGCATTCCCTGTAGAATAACACATTTGTGCGATGCTTCATTATAATTATATCCGTTCTTAATATTACATATTTAATAGAATTTCACTATTTCTCACGTTCTAGCTCGTTTAATCTGTCGGAATTGATTGGACAAAATACAACTATGACGACAGTAGAGATTACTGTTGCTTAATAATTTAGATTTCTAATTATGTTTAATACGACTTCGATACAAATGAATAGAGAAAAAAATGTTGATTGTACATTTAATTCATTGATACGCAATTCTTTGACATATATTAAGTATGCAAACTCTACATTACTATGTATATACTTAACTGCCCACACATAATTCAAGGTTGTGAATAAGTTGCTTCTCTAATGCATCAACCTACGGTACAGCATTAAATCGAAGGGACGTTCAAATCCCATATTATGAAACAAGGAATTTTTTGCATAGATAGGATGTAATCGCGTAGTCATGAAGAGGGCTTAACTCCCACTCTGAATTTACGTTTTGAAGAGTTTAATATTTAAAATGTTCTTACTTACACCACAACTTTATCTTTAATGGATCTTTCGAGATTGAAGGATGGCTAACAACGGTTTTTTGGAAAAAATTACTCTCCGTCTAGAGATTATAGAGATGTAGAGATGCGCCTTGCTTACATTCATGTTTTAATGTGTTCTGTGAGTAATAAGTTTGTTAAAACGGCAGTTTATTTATTTAAGCCTGTATTTTGTTTATATATTTACATGCCACTGTTAAAGGGTCTCGTATACCTAGATCTTTTCATATGGATTCATTGCATTCATTGCGGAACATACATATAATAGAAACAGAATGTTTTAACGAGTATGAAGTATTTTTATTCAGCATACACCCTCTAGGTTAGGTAAGTGGATATTTGGACCTTGGGGAAAATGTGTAGGCTAACTAGGAACAGCTTTTCTTTTTTGTTAGCAATTTATTTTCCAATCGGAGTGAAAAGTAGCGTTGATATGACGCTAAATACCCATTATACCTAACTCTTTTTCCATTTACTCCTTCGCTACAGATCGGGAGCAAAGCTCCCTTGTAATAATGGGTCTTTTTAGCCCCTTGTATAACAATTCAACATATGTTTACAACAAAATGTAATGACGTCCCAGAGACTGAGTCTGAAATAAATACAAAGACTACAAACTTAATTGTCTGCTTCATTTGGTTTGTGCTGTAATAACGGCTATGACAGAATTTTGTTCATACAAACGAATACAAATACATTATCGGAAAAAAATGAAAGAAAAAATATCCGTACGCATTTAGACGATAATGACCATCTTTTTGTATTCCACACTTGAATGCTCTATTTGCAGTCTTGAGTGACAAGTACACCAGCGCGTAAATATCCAATGTCACTCCCACGGCAACGTGACGTCATGAGCCAATGGTCTTTCATCGTTGAGCTACTGATTTTTCTATTGTTTAGGATACAATAAAGGGATGCTAATAATGCTGCGTGCAATAAATGCCTCTTTGGTGGGTATCTGTCGAGTCCTCGCTATCTTCTAAAACTGACCCGATTATTAGGACAACGTTCCGTGGTGAGAGTGTTATAATAACTTAGTTGATAAAATTTCACATAAAATCACGGTAAGTAGGCAATCGTATACAATTAAATGTTTGCGCGCTATCTTCATGTAATTTGTTGTCTTTTTTGAGACAAATTGATTTTTTTGTAGGAATAGAGTTTAAGATATGATTAAATTAAAAGGGTTTAAGTACTTTAAGAATACAGTAGAAGCACCTTATTCATGTTTTCATTATTCGCGGGTGGAAACGCTGTAACCGTATTTCTGTACTCGCGGCTAAGATTTGCGTATTCGCGGATGTAGTCGGTAACATAAAGGAATTCAGCGTCCTTTATTAACACATCGTCATCTTTTAAATACTCCGGGCATATTTCAGGGTGCCTTTCACAACGCCTTATATTTTTTGCTTCGTTGTAGCATTCATAAAATACTTTAAAAAAAAACTACATCTGAATCTGAAATTAAAGGTCTCTTAAAACTAGAAAAAAAGATAAATAAATTTTTTAAAACCCTTTAATATTGATTTTAATTGGTACTTCTTCAATAATCTTACCTCAATTGTATTTATTTTGACATACATATTGCTTTTATTTAGGAACTTTTGAATGTATCCCCCCCCCTCCATTAGTCTATACCAAATGCCATCACGTATCCTTCGCGAATAAGGAGCTTCTACTGTATATTATAATGTATTTCTCTAATTATTAATTACAGTTTTAATTATCTACTGTAGGTATATATTATTTTCCAATCAATGGGAAATTAGATAGTAATTTTGGGTTCGGCGTTATCTTAACTGAATAAGCTTAATGGAGGTTTCCGTTGTCAGTTGGTGTGCGTTGCATGTTTGGTGGCTAAGCGTGTATCCACCGACGATGAGGCGCGACTGGCGCTGCTGCTGCAGAAGCTGTCCAGGGAGTGGTCCCTGCTCACCTCCGTCACGTGGGACTCCGCCGGTGGTGCCTTCGCTGATGCCGTCTATGGTGGTAAGGTCTATTTGTTTCGTATGTATGTATATCGTGAAAAGTTTTCAGAACAGAACTTTTCACTCATAGCAGTTTCAAGCCGATTTTTTTTTATTTCTCTTAAAATATTTTTATAAAAATCGAGTCATTAAAATTTAAAAAAACAACGTTTATTATATTATATTTTAAAGCAAGGGATAGCAGGATAGATGGCTAAATTTTCAGACCAAAAAAGAATGCAATGTAACAGCCACAAACGCTCTGCAGTTATCTAATAGTGCGGTTGTTATGAGATTCCGCCCTCACATTTATTTATATAAAAAAGCTGTATAAACGATTTATATAGGTAAGTATATTTATCAATCTTCGTTGATCATAGGTCAATTTTCGCGGTCCGCCTGTTGTGGACCTCTGTCGTAGATAGTTTATACAAATCCTAAAATAATATGCATTTTATGTACGTAGGTCTTTTAATCTTATATTTGTCAAGTACATATTTTTTACTAGACTTCAGCTCGAATGAGAAACGGTCATTACCATTCGACACAATACAAATACGAATGTCCATTTTAAAACAATAAACATTTTTGGTTTAAGTTTGGTATGTTAATGACATGATTGATACAAAGTTGGGTATGTGACTGACCAGTAATTGGTTAACTAAATCTGTTAATTTCTCAGGCTACGTCATAATTACCTTCGGACTGCTGATTGGAAGAGTTTTCCAAGAAGTACCGAAGGGGCGACGACTGCTCGAGGGCTTTTTCTTGGGGATCGGACTGCTGCTATTCCTCGTGTTAGGTAAGATTATTTGGTAGATTTGGTGGACGCTTTTACTTTTATAGTTGTCATGATTATAGTTTTATTAATAAACGTACAACTGTTATAACAAATTAAAAATTTATTTGAACAAGATAGTAGACTCATATCGAATCTTACTTTGCTTACGTAATGATAAAAATGCTTTTGAAGAGTTAAAGATTGTATTCTTGCGTGTAATATTTTACATATTTTTTTCCATCAGGTGGTTTAGAACTTGCATCCTTAGATTCAGTACCAAAGAATTTGACTGTGAATGCTTCAGTGTTGGGCAGCTTCTCTCTGCTCGTTGCCGCTTTATTCCTAATCGATCTAATGGGCCCCAGGGTGTACACTGCAACCCATCACTCGCAGACAGATACAATCACTGTAATATCACCAAAGTCTGAAAAGGAATTGACAGTGCCACCTCAACCAACTAATGTACAGACGCCAAATGGGAAGCAAAACGGTCACGTACCACCAGAAAGACCGAAAGACCTCGATCTAGAGATGAATCACAAGGATAAAGTCAGTAAGAAGGAAGAACCCAGACCGAAGGACAAACTCGACAGTGGCTATACGAAATTCGGCGATGGCTTGGAAAAAGATGTCTTGGAATCATCGAAGTTCGGGTCCCTACGAAACGGAATGGAAGGTGGCAACTACGTGAGACTGTCCGACCCGTTATTTGAACCACTAGATAAATTACATTACGAGCAGGAGTTGGCTAAGTTTAACGAGAAATATTTCCGAGAGTATCTAGACTCGTACGACGGCGGCGCTAGGCTATCGGTGAAGGAGAACTATTTGCCAGAGTTACAGACGCCTGTCTTTTCGAAGGTGAAGACGGGAAGATTGAAAAGTTTATATGATGATGTTTCGCCGACGTACGAGCAGAAGAGACAGTCGAAATCACCCACTCGAGCGAGAACAGTGGCGACTCCGACGTTACAACAGTTGGAGGATTATCTGCGGTCTTCCTCTAGGTCGAGAAGAGGGGACACTCCTGCTCTGTTTCCTATGGAACCGATAGAGGAGAAGGACAAAGAGAGTCACGCTGAAGGCAGGGCGTCGGGAACGCCCACGGACCCAGGGTACGTGCAATACACGGCCGGCAAGTGGCCGGACAAGCGAGAAATAAGGACACCGAGGCACAGCCCCACACAATAACATTATTTTTCCACGCGACTGATGAGTACTTACGTGTATGTGTGCTGTGTGAATAAATCTTGAATTAGCCATTGAATAGACATAGTTACTAATATTTTTTATGTACATTAAGCTCGACAATAAATTAATTTAACAACAGTGGGTTTTACGCCATTTAATTTTTAATTAATCTCTTTAATTATATATAGACACTTTTTTGGTTTTGCATAGATAGAATCACTTCAACTGTTTCAAACAAAAGAATCAACGGACAAGGTAAAATCGTAAACAATTTCATGGAACCTGTTAATTTATAGGAAGTTCGTTGCTCCAACGTTAAAGTGGAAGATTAGAGTTAATTTTCAGATAATGAGTGTGTGACCGTGTGTGCGGCACCCGGAGGTACAAACATGACACACGTGACTAAAATATATTGTTCTTTATTTTTTAAGGCATTTGTCATTATGATTGTACCTCCGAAAAATCATCTTAAACCGTTTTTGGTGGGTTTACAAAAAATATTAATAGGCGATATTTTTTCCGTATCCTCATTTGTCTTAGATGTTAAAAAAGTACTAATTACAAGCGGTCCACAACACGCGAGATTGTATGAGCATGAGTGTTTTACATGTGAAAAATATTTTATTCATTTAGATTTTATTATATTGCAACGATTGCCATAATTTTGTTATACAGAGTTTAAAAGTCACATTATTTGTGTAACGCCATAAGGCCTGCATTCAGGCAGTCCATATCGATGTTAATAACGCATATTTCGATGTTAGTAACACATACAATAGGTCTTTATTATAAGGATGACGATTGTTTTATTAACTGTTGACTTTCATTAGTCGTCACTTCTTTGGGTATTCCCATATTGACCCCATGCCATGCCATATCGATTATCGACCAATGATAATGGACTTTATGGATTAAAACTCTACGTTTATTTTGATACACAGATTTTGATACTTTTCACTGTTAGGTAGGAAATTCCATGAGAATTTATCACTCTCGAGAAGCCAGGCAGGGCACTAGTTGTAAATAAAACTATCTAACTATAATTATAAATATATTTTATATGTATTTTTTTGCAGTTCGATCACGTTATTTAGTATAATTAATTTGTTTTTATTTTGAATTAGTTTTTGTAGACAAAAAGTTATTACGGAAATATTAAAATGAATAGGCACTCGCCAGTTGGTCGGACCTTCGCGTGACCTGCGCCCACGCCTCAATTGTTACGTCCAGATTTTGCAACAGCATCTTAAAGAACAAATTGTGAACGCAGTGCTAATAAGCCGCCAAGTGCACGGTTCAATGAATGCTACAGTTAATTTTGAAATAATTAGCGAACTTTTGAACTGAGTTAATTAATGTCAAGATTGTGGTGTACGGCTTAATTGAAGTTGTTAACTACTCTCCGAGACTCAGATTGTATTTTTTATTTAATAAAAGCAGAGGTGTTAGTATAGGGTCCGTGTTTTGCAGAAAACAAGGAGAAGATTTACCTATAAAGCCCACTACTTAAGCTTAGGGATGATTTACTTTCAGAAACTAATAATTAATAAATAACCTTTAGTTCTATTAACATTTAACAAACTATACTTACTTCTAGCAATTCCTACAATAAACAAAGCTTGGCTTGTAGCGACCAACACGTATAACCCATATATAATAACCAAATAACTGGTAAATTATCCGAGCACAAGACGTCTCATGATTCTAGCGTTGATGATTGGAATAGGTGCTTTCTTAGAGGTCATTGGAGTAGAAGTTATATTGCGTCGCATCGTTTGCATGTGCTAATATAGAGCTATGAGTTGTATAGAGAAATTATGTAGGAGTAACACATACAGTTGTACATTTTCTCAACTCTTGAGTTTCAGAAGTTCACAAATATAACTTTATTTTTATTTTAGCTAGGTATTATATGTCTGTGTATAATTTATATTATGATTACCTTTGTTGAGAGCTAAGTGGCATATTGATGTGTGGGTACGAATGCAGTGAACAAAGTACATAGACCTAGGAGTGACATGCTGTTAAATATCTATTAACCGACTGAGTTAATTTAGGACACACTTATGACTTGATGTCAGTTCTAAATCGAAACGTTTTATGTCTATCCGAGCTACTAAAGTTTAAGAAACCATCGTAATAAGTAACGCATACTTCCATGAGACGATTGGCAGATCTTCCGTCGAGATTTGCATTGACACACGACCCATACTCAGTAGACATCACACAGGCTTATAATACTCAGCTTATACATAGTCGTATCGTCTAGAATAAACAATATTCACTGTTTAATATCTAATGCTGTCAAACTTATACCTACTTATTATATCTAGTTTGACCCTAACGTCAATCGGTCGCGTCTAGTGTTGCGGAACGCTGACGGTCATTATAAAGATGTCCTTACCGTGCGGTGCGCCTTGTGTGCCACAATACTGACAAATTATAATAATTTGTCTCGCTGTATGTTCTTGGCCGGTCAGATTAATGTTACGCTCATGATTCACATTAATTTATCGCAGTCCTCTTGTGATGCAGATTGAATAATATTATGACACATTTTATTGCTGTACGCGGTGTGTATTCTCACGGTGGTGGCCTCGTGGTCTGTCAGCCTGCGGTCTCTGCTTAGTTAGACTATAAATACAAAAATCATGTGGAAATTATTTTAATGTGGATTAAACCTGTTTTATAAATAGGCGTATACATTATAATGAAGTTATGTAGTAGATAGGGACTACTACGTAACTTCATTATTAATTAAATGAATGGCACAGCTCCCAAGCAGTTTTTTATGTTATTAAATTTGAAACCGGTAGTGAATTTACTTTAGTTACTTAAGTTTGAATAATCGCTAGAATATACTGATCAATTGGCAATGTCCGTTTATTTTCTATGGAATATTATAGATGTTTAATTTCATAGATCAGACAATTTTTTATCAAAATTGTATTCTTTTTAATTAAGTATTCAATTATTATAATATATTAAGGCAAAGAGTAGAAATATATTAAAAAAAGTTGTAACTGTCTTTTGGTAAGATAAAAAGTACTTGCTTACAAAATTCTCTGAGATGGTAGTAAAGGTACCCTTATGGTAATTTAAATTCACCATAAATGCAAAAGGGACGGGGTCACCAAAGCCTTGGCGTCATCGGCGGCATAGCGAAGACAAAGGACAACTTTTTACGAAGTCGTGGGAACAGTGCGCGCGCGCAACCTTCGCGCCGCACTCGCCGTCAGCTGATGTTTCCTTTTATAGGGCTGTCATAATATTTAAACGTTTTCTGCTTAGTTATTTTAATTTATATAAAGGAACTAAATGTATATTGAGGTTACGCGGTTTTATTTACGTAAAGGCCTGGTTGTTGTACGGTGTTAATTCGCTTACTACTTACTATGAATGCGATTCTTTACCTAACATTAGATAAGAGAATATCCATGTTTTTATCATCACCAGCCTTATAATGTCCCCACAGCTGGGCTTCAGGCCTCATGGATGGAATCAACTCGAATTAAAAATGGGTCCAGTGCGGATTGGTAGGTATTAACGGCTGGTGATGTAGCCGAGACCAACGGTTTAACGTGCCTTCTTAAGCGCGGAGAAGCTAGATCCATGGCTGGTCTCATAGGATCCACCCATCCTATGAGACCAGCCAAGACCGATCGCGCTAACTACTGCGCCATGGAGCTCCTCGACTTAAGTTTTCTTTCTCGATATTAACTTTTTATCACTAACTGTTAATTAACTACCGGTATTCTGTACATGTCGTTTTCATTTATATATTTTTAACATATAATGGGCTCAGTCATGATCTCCATTTATATATTTTAACGCTATAATTTTTTTCAATAACCCTGACATTTCTATGAACGCAAGTAGTGTGACGGAAAAAAAATTAATTACCGATGCTTGGAAACCTGTGTAAGAGATAGTTTTTAATAGTTAACATCACTATATGTAAAAAATAAAGTCGCTTTATCTGTCCCTATATCCCTGTGTATGCGAAAATCTTTAAAACTACGCAACGGATTTTGATGCGGTTTTTTTTTCATAGATAGGATGATTCAAAAGGAAGATTTTTATGTGTAATAAAGACCAATCGGGCGAAGCCGCCGGCGGAAAGCTAGTAAATAATAAAAAGCATCAAGTTTGTTGTCAAAAAATCCAACTAATAGTAGATTACTGTGATATTATGTACTAGCTTTTGCCCGCGACTTCGTCCGCGTGGTAAAGTTACTTTGAGCAGCATTTCTAACGAATATTTATTCATTATATCGTGTAAAATACCTGAAAAAAGTCTTATCCTCTTAGCTTATGCCCTTAGGGGTGGAATTTATCAAAATCCTTTCTTAGAGGATGCTTACGTCATAGTAGCTTTATGCATGCAAAGTCTCGGCCCTTAAAATTGACAGTTTCATACAAACTTTCATCCCCTATTTTATCCCCTTGGGGTAGGAATCAATCAAAATCCTTTTTTAAGTGAATGCCTACCTCATAGTACCCTTATTTATACAAAATCTCAGCCCGATCGGTATAAAATTTACAAAGTTTCATACAAAATTTCATCCCCTTTTTTCCCCTTGAGGGTAGAATTGATCAAAATCCTTTCTTGGCGGATGCCTACGTCATAACATCTACCTGTATGCCAAATTTCAGCCCGATCCGTCCAGTGGTTTGGGGTGTGCGTTGATAGATCATAATGTCAGTCAGTCACCTTTGAGATATATATATATATTTAGATTATTTTCCCGTGGGAATGCGTCATTTTTCCGTGGTAAAAACTACCCCATGTCCTTTCTTGGGTATTAAAATATCTCCATACCAAATTTCATGTTCAGTGGTTTAGGCGTGATTAAGTAACAGACACAGAGTTACTTTCGCATTTATAATATTAGTATAGATTGTAAGTAAACTCGGCTGAGGTGCTGACTTATAATTAAACGAAATCTGTCCAGCTGAAAAGTCGGGAGTTCAATATATTCACGCAGGAAGCGTTTATGATGCTTATTGTTCTCAACCTTACGATGCCCACTGCTGGGCAAATCAAAGTAATATTCTGTTTAATTTTTAATCTTTATTGTATAGTAAAGACAGGTCATTCTCTCAGTTGTTTTGATTTGCAAGCCGAAAAACAAACTCACGCACAACAATTCAGATAACATTGACCATTTCAGACCCTGTCCGCCTGTTACCGTTATTTTATTTTCTACCTAAAAAACCGTGATAAATAGATAAATTTCACTGAATTTTGATTGATAGTATATGTTCTCGCATAATAAAATAAATATTTAAATGGTACAGAACCCTTCGTGGTAGTCTGATCAATCTTACTTGGTCGATTATTTTCTTACAAAAGGCAGGAGAGTCTAGCTTAGTAAGAACTAGAAGCAAGAGCTTATTATCACAAACAGTTTTTATTTTGCTTTGAAACAACAGCTTCTAATATCCTTATTATTAGGATGCGGGTGGTTAGAGCTTATCCTGCCCTTACACATTTACTAACGTAAAAAAAATCAGCTCTATTCAACAATAATCGGTGGACCGCGCTCCTAAATAAAAGAGTATATATTTTCGACCTGAATTACTTTTTTTCTCGAAGGACTAATAAGATTTCTTACTACTCCGCAATAAGAAGCAATTCCCCTTTTGTAGATCTTAATTTAATAGTTATTATTACTAAAAATTTATTAAATATGAAAATAATACCCATTTCGTTGTACATAGCACCTACTAAGGTCCTAACTAGATTGTATTACCGCTGTTTATAGTAGGTATTAAGGAATGTGATGTACTTTTTATTATGAACATAGCTTCATTATTTTTACATTGTAATAAATAGATTTGGAATGAAACAAAATTTGATAATAACACATTTATTGGTATCTACAATATAATTCTCGTATATCGAATAATTTTTAAATATATTACATGACAAACTTTATAATAATAGAGATGACTGCGACCTGAACGGTCTTTGGACGTTTTCATACAAAGTTAACATAAATGTGTAACGAGAGTTCCTAAGTAAATTATTTTAAGATTTTTTTTTATTATTATAAATAGCACCGTTTCGTGAAGTTCGAGGAAGACAGTCATTCGGAATAAGGCACACAGTAAGTCGTAATTCGGTAAGCGTGTAGACTTAGTTTTGTTGATGGAAATTAACAATACTATTGTAATTTCATAATACGAATTCCATATACAACAAAATTATCCCTTTCATCTACACAACTCAGATACAATTAATATAATTATATACTTAATTTTTCAAATATTTATGTTTATTAAACTTATTTAATAAGACAATTGTTGCATTGATACGTTATAACGGATTTTAAGTATTATTATGACAGTAAATGAATTCAAATTCTAAAAAACAAATAAATCCATTATATCAAAATGTATTTCCATTTATGTAACATTAACTGCATTTTAAAAATATCAATAAATAATAAGAATACGAAAATATTAACTCAATATACACATAAAAACATTTCATAAAACATACTCGTTGGTTAATAATTTGGAATTTAATGGAATATACTAAACTTAACAATAATTTTATATATATATAACGTACAGGACACCATGTTAGATTATACATAAGGTCCAAATTGTCTAAACTAACGTAATTCTTAATATACATGTTAATGAAGTTCAAAATTAGTTGTAGACATTTGACTTTCAGTAGTGCCTGTTGTGCTGTTGTGTACATTCTTTTCATAAACTCGAGGTGTAATATCGATTAAAATGAAAATAGAAGATGTATCGCATCACCAGCGTGTAACGAAAACATTTTGAGCCCCCACGCGATTAATCCTATTCTCATTTTGATCTCGGTTAAGTTTAATATTATGTTATAATATTACTTATTTAGATCGTTTTAATGGACGGAATATAGCCATGCTATGTTGAGGTACAGTTGAACGCATACGAGCATCGAAACGGAATATACATCGCTCGTTTTATCCTTACTTATGTTCATATGTTCACGTGCTGAAACCTGAAACAAACAATTACGTTATTAATGATACTATAATATATTAAACAATAGTAAAAATAATGTATCGTAATAAGATTTCACTTCTAAGATAAGTTTTGTTGAAACTTTGATAAGTGCACAAAGAATATTTCAAAAATCTATACAGTTCGATTAATGCCTTTAGAGGACGCGTAGGATTGTAAAAATGATATGGATTTGGGATGACGACTAGGTAAAAAGAAATAAGTTTTATTAATTCCTTCAGTTAGATAATAGAAAAATATTAGGAACTATTTTTTTTTGTTTCAATTTAAACAAACAATGGCTTAGATAACAGGCTTTCAAATTGAGGAGAGGGAGCTCGCTACGTCACAGTTTTGTAGAAATGTACAAAAGTGTGACGTCATGCGACATTTCAACTTATCGTATCGCCGGAATTTATGTATAATATTCTTCCATATCCATATATTTCTGACGGACCAACGAACCAGCTGTTTAAACTCTACCTACAAAAAGGTAAGGTACCTGTATGGTGCGCGGTGTCCCGCTGCAGCGCCACGTACTGGCGCACGAGGCGCGCGATCTCGTGCGCCTGCTCGGCCTGCAGCCGCGTCACGCGCTGCTGCAGCAGCGAGCCGCACTTCACGTCCAGGTACAGCGTGCCGTCCTCGGACCGCACCTGACACATTATATATATGTTTATATACAACCTAATTAATTATTGAATATCTGAGACACGTATGAATTGATCAGTTTTGTTTTGTAATTTAGTTAATGGAATTTCTACACTAATGTACGATGGTGGTTTCAAAAGTCTGAAAAGTCTCGGCTTGACCAAGAAAACAAAGAAAATAAAAATATGTTTTTAATTAAAATAAATTAGTTTGCATCTAGCCCTCAAATATTTTCCAACCACCCTCGTAAGTTAAGAGGATTCACTTTCGAAGTGAACTCGGACGCTTAAGTGGGTTGGATTTTTTATGGAATCGCTTTTCTGTACCCATCACAACTGCAACAAAACAAAATATAAACAGAAGTTAATGTAATTAAGGCTTTTAAAAATACAATATATTTTAAGCTCGTAATAAAATACATCATAGGAACCTGGTCTTTTCCCAGTCTGCAAAAGGCAGGATCCTCGGTGGGGCACCGAAGAAGGATTGTCCTCTTCCCATCGAGGGTATTTCGCAGCGAGTTTAACCAAGTATGTCAACCACACTTCAATGTTTCAAGACAGGGTGAGTGGAGAGCCCTGGTTTAAGGTATCCCCGCGTTACCAAATAAAGGCTCTGGAGATGCCTACCTTCCTGGTGGAGATGAGCTCTGCGTACGTCCAGTGCGTGTCAGTCTCGTGCGTGTGCGGGTGCAGCAGGTGCACGCCGCGCCGGTTCAGCGCCAGCACGTGCTCCCGCCACTCCCCCGCGCCCCCGCCGCCCACCGCGCGGCGGACCGCGAAGAACGACGAACCGAACAGCGGCCACCGGGACAACACCTACCCGAACAAAAATTATATACTGTATATATAAAATTTTAACTTACACTGGATAAACGTGGACATAATTCAACTCGACTTCGTTATTTAATCAAACACAATTTTTTAAACGATTTTAAAGAGCGGATGCGACGGTAGCAGCTCGGTGGTGTAGTGGATAAGCGCCGCGGCCCGCGATCGTTGTCTCGAGCTACTCCGGGCTTCAGAAAGCACGTTAAGCCGTTGGTCCCGGCTGCATTTGCAGTCGTTATTAAATACCCTCCAATCCGCATTGGGCCAGCGTGGAGGGTCATGGTCCATCCTCCTTAAGCATTCATAAGGAAGGCCTGAGCCCCTGCAGTGGGGATGTAAAAGGGCTGATGTTGATAATGATGATGATGCGACGGTAATCCCCGGACAGGAACGTCGGTGCAAAAAGTTAACATCGACACGAGAGCGTTCGTCGGTTCTTGCCGACTTTCGACGGAAGATAGATATATAGATAAACGATTTATTTCTTGCTAAAATACACACACGCATTACATTTCATTCAACAGAAAAATAAATAAATAAGTATGTAGATGAGACAAATGAACATTCGAAAACAAAATGTGTGTGTGCGTCACAGCAATACACAATGGTCGCAGCTCAGCGTCAAGTATTCACGCGCCTACAATGCGAGCAAATCGCTGATTTTCAGCTGCAACCAAGACTCACAAACAGATCGAGGAGTTCCAGGCGGAGCTAGTTTCTCGAGGAGAGCGTACCTGCAGCACTTTGGCCTTGGCGTGCTGGGGCGAGAGCGCGCGCGCGTGCGGCCACTCGGCCATGAGCGCGGCGTGCCACGCGGCCGGCCGCGGCTGCGGCAGCGCCAGCAGCGGCTTGGGCAGCAGGAACTTCAGGTCGCGCGGCTGCGGCGGCTCCTGCAGCGCGGCCGCGCGGTGCAGCAGCGCGCCCACCGCGCCCGCCTCGCGCAGCAGCGCCGCCGCCGCGCCCCCGCCCCCGCCCCCGCCCCCGCCCCCACTCGGCACCACCACCAGCAGGCCCTCCAGGTAGTCCGGCGCCACCTGCACGCCGCCGCACAAGAACACTCATAAATAGAGCCGACGCCTCTTCAAATTTATTCTAACGAAGGAAATCGAAACTCGGCCTGGGAGCGTAGCTCACGTAGCCGGATTGAAAGCGGTCGAAGTTCTCGAATCATCTCACACCTGACTGATCACGAGCTTGCATGCGAGTGTTAAAAAATTAAAAAGTATTAAAGTACTTTTTTACACGTTCGCTTGCTTGTGCAAAGTAAAGCTTATGGTGAATCAGGGGCAAACCATTAGTCCTTCCGTATACAAAGGTATCTGACCGGTCGGTTTTATTTACAGATAACACATCTTCAGCATTTTAAGTCGAAAGGGACGATGATCGTTTTGACGATGTGAATAGTGTTTTCGGCGTCCTAATCGACCTGACATTGCACAGACTTAAATCAGAGCAAACACAATTAATCTCATCGACGTCCAGGTGCAGAACGAGTCGATGTCTAGATACACATGATAGGTGAGACGGGGGACCTGGTTGAAGAGCAGCTCCGTGTAGAGCGGCGGCGCGTCGGCGCGCAGCGGGTGGTGCCACACGGAGCGGCAGAAGATCAGGTAGAAGGGGTGGTGCGCGCGCTGCAGCTCCGTGGTCACGTCCAGCACGTACTCGTCGCCCGCCAGCGGCATCGTCAGCGCGTCGCCCGCCACGATGCAGTACAGCGAGAACTCCTGCCGCTCCGCCGCGCTGCTCACGCCGATCTGACAGACAGAACACACATTATATACATACATGTAGTACCGACTGTGCACGCCACTCCCCTCTCCCGCTTTTACAATAGCATAGAGCAGAGCGTAGTCGAGTGTAGGAATAGAAAATGTAAGTTGTACGAGCGAGTGAAGTCAACTACGTAGGACTTTGGATGCTTCACATTAGATATCTTTAATCTTAAAATAAATTCGAAAGCTGAAAGAAATCTCAAGGAGCCAGTCTCCCCGATAGCCAAACCTATACTTGGCTATCGGGGTAACTCGTCTACGAGAGTTATGTTTCTCGATCTACACCAGATTAAGAAAACATGAGACAGAATATGATAAAGTATCTGATACATCGAAAGTTGGTGTAAAAAATAAATTTTGAGTGTAAAATTGTAATAAAGAGTTATTTGACATGCTTCAACTATTTAAAAGTCAATAAAAAAACGAAATATGATACATACCAGTTCGCACAGTTCGTTAACAATGTCCTGCACTACCGTGGCGCATCGGGTGTTGACCACACGCTCGGCGCCGCCCGGCAGACGGTACAGCTGACGGCGGGCCGACCTGCCCGCCGACACTGCCGTCACCTACACAACATTACACATATATTACTGAAACATAGTCCGGGTCAAAGGTGAATCTTGTCAATGCTGGATCAATCTAGCCTTCCCCGTTAGTAAAAAAAACAAATATGAATAGTAGCAGTTACCTCCTCGACGCTGGGCACGTTTTTTAATAAAGAACAAATATGAATACTAGCAGTTACCTCCTCGACGCTGGGCACGTTTTTCCTGCCTCCACATCGTAGTGTCTTCCTGAGGTTAGCGAGGCAGACGGCCGCTGTTCCCTGGCAGCCGCGCCGCCTGTCCGCCGCAGCTGATGACAGGTACTCCACCAGGAATGGCCTGAACATAAATATTTGTTACTGCTTGCACCTCATTCTGACTCCATGAGGTGAAAATATAACCGAAATTTTCGGTTCGTTCTATTCAGATTCGAAGCCAAAGTGTTGTAGTGCCACAAACTTATCTGACCCGGTAGCCAAAATTGGAACTAAGGCGCCATCGTTTTGAATTGGCATCATACTTTAGTCTTTGTATCAGCTTATAGTTTTGGACGACGCGTAATTTTATTTTGTTTTGTGATTTTATCCGAATAAATAATACCGAAAGCATCAAAAAGTGATGCAAGAAATATGATTTGAATAAAAATCTTAAACTGTGGATGTGTGTCCGTTTAAGATATTTTTTAATTTTGTCATACTTTTCAGTCTATTTTTTTCATTCATATAAATGGGCCACATTAATACAAATATTTTTTTAAATTAGTTTTATTTTGTAGCTGCTGGAGAGCAGTTAGTAGGCAAATAAGTTAAAGAAAAAGAGCAGGCTGAAGCGAAGGGTTTACAAATTTCTAGTCCAGGGGAAAAAAGGGAATGAGTGAAAGGAAAAGTCGAAATTAATGATTTTGACCTCTGTGTCATGTGTAGAAAATTTTGTATTAGCGTTCAGTGGCACCTATTACACTATGCAAATATAATCCGAAATAACCAACTGATACTTATTTGAAACCACATAAAGGCGCATGAAGAAATTCAACATAACTACGTATATAAACTGTGACTGTTTATTTGGAGAGGTGTATAAGCTGTACAGTTCAAGTCACGCAACATTATCTGTTGTAAATATATAATTTTAGTTAAAACTTGACGTTTAAAGACAGACTTTATTTGGAGGTAAATCTGAAGTATATGCATAACTAATATCAACAAAAATTTAAAAACAAAAAGTCATGTCATATTATATTCGATTATCGCTTCACTTAGTTTTTGACGATTTTTTCAATGCTTTTTTTTCTTAATTTTTCTATAGATGTTAAATACTTAAAGTAAGTTATGAAAGTCGTATGTTACCGGAGCGTGTCGGAGCATGTGAAGTATGCAGCTAGGATGGACATGAGCCGCCAGGCGCGCTGGCACGAGTCCGGCGCCTGAGACCGGTTAGAGGTGGTCTGCTTCATCAGCTGGCAGTACACTTCATCACGCAGCTCTGGCACCGAGTGGCAGTGCTGCCGTCAATGAAAAAAAAACAAACGCTTACTAAATTATTACAACAAACATTTTAAAATACTTAGAGTGATAGAGCTAATTCGAACCAATGATGACGTTAATATGGATATGTCTAAAGTTTTAAAGTTAAGTTTAAACTTAGTCAAGTAATATTCAAAACTAAAGTACAGTCTAAGTTGATGTTTTGTGTTAACTTTAATTGATCAAAGCAGGTTTTTTTATTTATATTAATCATTTATCTCGTTATTGAAGGCATATTTATGCTACGACAGTATGTTGTTGATAGGACATTCGAATGCAATAATAAAACAGAAAAAATAAAAAGGCACATTACTGAACATGCTATGACAAAGTGGTAAGTTTGCTCAATAACCAAACCACCGGTTTTGTAGTTTTGACTTATGTATAGAGAAGTGTTGACATTGTGTGACCTCACCATGAGTACAGTGTAGACACACTTGACCTCCGTGAGGTCCTGGTGCACGGGCCTCTCGGCGGGCGTGAGGTCCCCGCAGTAGGCGCGTATGCAGGTGAAGCACTCGAGCGCGGGCGGCGCGAGCGCAGCCGGCAGTCGTAGCAAGGGCGCACGTAACGGAGTTGCCTGCCACTTTACTACGTCCGTTTGAGCCTTCCATGTCCACTCGTTACGTTTAGCTTTACTCTTCAGTGAAGAGTCGGCCTTTAGTATTTCTAGTCTGCGAAATAAAATAAAATAAATTCCATAAATTTCAGAAGGACATGACGCAGCAGTCTTTTTATGAAGCCAGTTAAAAATATATATTTTCCTCTGTCTGTTTTACACTACAAAAACATATTCTTGACGTATTTAGTGGATGTATTAAAATCTTGACTAGGTTCCTCCTATTTTCATATCTATTAGGTACGCAGCTACTGATGTTAATTAAATAAAAAAAAATCTAATGTTGTATCAACATTGTAACGCTCGGTTGCGTAAATACAATTAATAATCGTTTATGCAAGTGAGCCATTATTGGTCGGATTGATCGGAAGCGCCTCACGAATCGTTGCAGAACTGAAATATACTTACATACATTAGAAATATACGAGGCAATGCCAATTGGAAATGAGATTTTTTTCTCGTCAAATCAATCACACATGTCAAACGTTGCTCAATCATACGTTTTGCATCATCATCTTAAGATTTAAAGGTGTGCTTGATATCGTAATGCTCATTAACGAAAATCATATTGGTATATAAAATCGAGGTTGCTATTATAATACGAAAAAGACGACTGAATACGGACATATAGAAAGAATGTCAGATGAAGTCAAACCTTATAACCTTATATACCTACAACACGAAATTGGAGGCTTGTAGAGTAGACGCTGGGGCAGGGTAATGTCAGCTTGTAGAGTAGACGCTGGGGCAGGGTAATGTCAGGCAGGGTAATGTAAAAACTGACGACTATGTATGAAACGAATATGTAATGAATCTCGAGGAGGTGAAACAGATAAAGATCATGTCTTTGGTGTTCAGTTCCCACTGCGTACGTCCCGCCTGACATTTCGCGTGAAATATCTATATGTGATTTAAGTTCAATATTGACAGGTACTATATTAAGAACGATGGGCAACCAACGTAACGCCTCCAATCATAAAATGAAATTGTAATTTTGTTTTTATTGGAGTGCGTAGTACACTATCCGCACACGAAACACATAGTTTACAAAAGTAAATGAGCATATTACAACATTTAGTTATTGCACAGTGTAGTAACACTCACGTAGAAATATGTTTGTAACATTAGGACTACAATGACGTTGAATAATTGAATTATAATAATAATCATCAGCCCTTTTACGTCCCCACTGCAGGGGCTCAAACCTTCCTTACGGATGGTTAAGGAGGATGGCTCATGACCCTCCACGGTGGCTCAATGCGGATTGGAGGGTATTAACGACTGCAAATGCAGCCTGGATTAACGGCTTAACGTGCCTTCCGAAGCACGGAGTAGCTCGAGATAATAATTTTTGGTCGCCCATCCCGTGACCGACCCTTGCAAAAATTGCTTAATAACAACAATCGCGGGCCGTCACAATAATAAACACACTTATACACTTATAAATGTAAATAGTGGCAAAGTTGAGTTGGTGGAATCCATAAAGTTCCTTGGTATTACACTCGATTCCCGACTGCAATGGGATCCTCATATTGATAATTTGTCAAGTAGACTGAGTTCTGCAGCATTTGCTGTTAAGAAAATTACTCTTGACAAATGTTGAAACGGCAATATTGGTATATTTTATTTATTTTCATAGTGTAATGTCTATTATTATGGGGTTCTGCGGCTAGCATTCAAGATATTTTTATTCTACAAAAGAGAGCTGTCCGCGCTATATATAGTTTACGGTCTAGAGAATCTCTCAGAGAATCTCTCAGAGAAATATTTAAAGAAATAAATATTTTGACCGTTGCCTCTCAATACATCTATGAAAATATTATGTACGCAAGAAAACATTACGATTCCTTAACAAAAAAAAGTAGTGTTCATAATCTTAACACAAGAAATAAAAATAAACTTGCCGTTCCAAGCTTCAGATTTCAGAAAACCAGAGGGTCATTTCTGGGTAAATGCATTGCTATGTTCAATAAAATTCCACAAAAAGTAGTTGACCTACCCATAAATAAATTTAATATTCATGTAAAGAACATACTTATGAGTAAAGGCTATTATATAGTTGATGATTATTTTAAGGATCGCAATGCATGGAATTAATAGCCTTCGCTTTGTTCTATAAAGACTATTTATATGTTCAACCTATGTCCTACAGACATTGAAAGTTGTATTTACTATTGTGATAAAACATATTATTTTGGTAATGACATGATTTATGTAAATGTTATTACTTATGATAAAGAGCTGGTAAGTTTTTTGTCAGCTAAAAGACGTCCTGAACAAGTGGTAGAGGATAAAATTATTTTTGGACGATTCAAAAGTGCTTGTAATAGCCTACTTGAATAAAGATATTTTCATTTCATTTCATTTCATAATAATCGTATTTAAAAGCGACTTTTTCAGTCATATTAGGACAAATAAAATTAGGAAAGTTTATATCTTAATAAATTGAATGTATTACATAGTTACACATTAGAGCTAAAACAGAATTCCTATCAGTAGCGGATGACATAACAAATGCAGAAAGGAAATTGATAAATATACGACACGAACAGTGAAAACCAGGTTCGCAGCTGACTACTCAAAATAGAATGTTCTCGATTTTTCATAGTTTTATTTTTCTAAATCAAAGTTTCGATCGCGCTTATAGACGTGTATGAGTTCATTATGGAATTGAAAAAACTGAAACTTCAGGTGCTCACAAAGCAGGATGCTCAAGGTCGCAGCACAGTTCTGAATCTGGGTCGTCACTGCACAGGCTGTCACCGGACATGTCCTTAGCACTGCATTGTATCGACATCTCACACACTGAACCCCGACTCGACTTACGTTATTAACCTGATTATGGCATCTCAATGGCGTTGCAATTAATTGCACTTTATTTATGTATTCTTGCATATCAATATACGAATGGTATATTGGTATACAAGAATACATAAATAAAGTGGTAAAATGGTAATGGTTGGAACGCCATTGCTACGCCATAATTACGTTAGCAGAATTGATGCTTGTTCGCCGCACACAACGCGCACTGGCCACTCGCGGACTGGCCACTGGCCGACCGAACAGGGAAAGTATCAAGGAAGCCTTAACAAGAATCTGTTAGAATTGCAATTCGGCTTTCGTGTTTGTTTACATCAGGCCGCGTCGTGCGTTGACCGACGCAACGTAAATGTTAATTGGCAGCTCGTTGATATTTGTGAACAAAATGTGCATAATTGTTAGGCACGCAGGCATGTTACATTAGCAATGATTTATACTAAAAATAACGAAGTTTTTCCACTTAACTCTATCATAATGTAGTCACTGTTTGTACTTAGTAGTATTACAGAACTTTTAAACAGCATAACAAAATCTGTCACTCAATTTTTTTTAAACAAATTTGTTGAAATAACAAATAAAAAACGTACTGATTTACAAACGATTGAACTTCAGTTCTACCGGTTCTCATTGAGTATTTGTTAGTGGCACTGACTGTTGCGACAATAGAACTGTCGCACGGTACAAGGTCGACCTCAGGTCGACATGCTAAAGTTATGTCATGGACACTAACATAACATAATATGTTAATTATAGTAGGGGGAATCTGTTACCACATCGCTTGTGACATGTCTGGATTTGCGGCTACTCATGTTATCGGACTAGTCTCGAGGACTAGTAAAATAATGGGGCATACCCAATTAATTCCACTACTCTATCACATTCTATCGGAATGGCTCCGGTCACTGACAAGGATTGGCCGGTAGCGTCGCAAATTTATTGTTAGTCCTACACACTGCGAGGCCCTGCAAGCGCCCAAAGGAGGCATTCTCAAAATGTTAGATTCATTCGCTTTTGTTATTTTAAAACAACGGTGGAGACTGGTCATAGATAGAAGATATAACTAAAGAGCAACATCACTGCAGGTTCGTAACATTCGCAAGTCTTGCGGAAGCATCAGGGGTACCAATCAGGAAGTTCACAGTTGACTGATCGCTGCATAAAAGTTATTGTGTAATTACGCGCGCGCATCGCCGCTGCACAGACGAGGCACCCGCCCCCGTGTGAGCAACAACTTTGCATAACAGACAACACTTGCCTCTTTGTATATGTTCAACAAATGTTAATGGTGGAACTAATCATTTTATACTCAACACTATATGCTGATTATATCAAACCCGACTTAATAGTTAATCAAAGATACCTATGACCTGTTATATAATACTGTTGTGCGATGGTGAATTAATTGTATGGATTCTTAAATGACGTGTGGTCATCTTCGCTTGTTATTTGTTCCTTTAAAGATGACCAATAATCAAAGATTAAGTCTTGACATTGTGGGTTATAACTAGACTATCTGTTATTCTCTCAATAGAGACCGGTGTCTCATGAGAGGAGGCACTGACAATGCTGATCTCTATCTCGCTTTATCTCTCTCTGCCTTCAATATCCACATTCGTAATGTAGACTTGAAATTTTAGGGTACAAACTAAAAATTGGGTAAGTCTGAAAAGTTGTATTATTGACTGAATAGCGATAATAATATAATATTTATGAGACCTAGTATAGCTAGTCCAATCATAAAGTTATAGTTTAATATGTAGTTAAAATATTTGGTTTAAAAAGATCACATTAGATAATAAACATTGACCGTCTATATTTCATGTCTAATACTATCGAATGTATTATAGCGATTTATCCCCACAACAGAGAAGTAGCATTGAAATCACTTTTTCCTAACACCAATGCGTCATCACCATTTGCACATTTATGGAGAATGAGCGGTAAATAAATATTGAAAAAAAAAACACCATCACTGACAGCATCAAACGAAACAATAGACTTTCGCGTTTATGTGAAATTATAACTTTCAAACACGGAACTTCGTATGCAGAGGCGGGACGCAACACTTTTAAATTATGAAGGTAGCAAAGGGATACTTGCATCCTATGCTTCAGCCGCCTGATCGCTGCGCACGGCATGATCGAGGGTCACCAGGCGACAGACTGCGACAGTCGCGCGACTGTTGCGTTCCGCGCGAACGCTGTTCGACAACTAACTAGGGCTGTCCCAGTTTTTTCCCAAACTCTTTTTTACGGCGCATTGTTTTTGCAATGTTGCAGCCGCCGACATTGGGTAAGAACGAAAAGAATCCATCTCATTACGAAAATGCGTTTCATCTTTTATCTACAATCGAGCCGCGTTATGGCACAAAGAAAAATGTTAAGATGTTAACGTTGAACACAAAGAGCTGGTAACGAATGCTCGCCACACGTCACTACCGCATTGCTTTATGTTAGAAATGTTAATAAGTATATGTATGTGATCTGTTCAAAATTTAAGTTTGATAAAAAATATAAATACGATAAACACGTCGATTGAAATTAAAAAAATAACATTTTTATCTTTGATGACCAAAATTGTTTACCTTGTAGAAATGTTTACGTGACAGGTCTATTTACCTACGTCAAAATAACACTTTTATTGCGCTCACAAAGACAGCTTGCTAGAGGCAGCCCTGTTTTAGTTCAAATAGCTACCCTTCCAATAACAGGGATTTAATGGCATTGTCGTGTTTTTTTCAAAACCATTGTAAGTACAGTTGCAAACAGTGCAGTTAATAAGTCTCACACCATCAGTTACATTACTTTGTGCTATCTACTCACATGGAATAAATAGGAATAGCAGAAATATATGTTGTTTATCATGGATGCGTTTCTCTGAAATGATTTGCATTTTTATTGTTTTTGATTAAGATTAGACAGAACTATAGAAAGGAAAGCAAGACGAAATGAAAAGATTACAAAATTATTTGTAAAAGTACTCCATGCCGAGTAAAATTACGAGATATAACGAAAAAAAATATCAATTAAAGATATTATTGTTGTCTTTTTTTTGTATGGGTAAGATTTTATTAATACTGTGTAAATGCTTCGACCCATTCTTACGTACTTTTCTCAATTTTAATTTCAGCTTAATTGGGTGTTATTTCTTTATATAAAGAAATTTAAGTTAATTAAAACTAATACTAGTAATCATTAACATTCAATTGGTTACCAACTAACTTACGTATACACGCGCCTTCAGGTACCTTTTACATGCATACTAACGTCAAAATGTAAAAAATTAATTTAATAACGCACTATGTATCAATTATACTGCTACAGACTATAGGGAGAAAAAAACTGCAATTGAAAAACATGAATCCAATAAATTCACGCAATCTTGCTATTCCGACGCAGTAGAAGATAATCGCCGAAATTTTGTTTAGTAAAGTTCTTTAACATATTACATCAGGCATATAACAGATTACAGCGTGAGACTTTACAACAATGGCTCTGGTGACGGATCAAATGACCATCTCGGTGTTGTTGAAACTCGCCCACTTATTTTGAGGTTACAGTGTCAGCATAAAAGAAAACACTGGATGGTTTCAGACAATCATAGAGTATCCGATGTCCAAAAGGAGCAAACTTAATCAATTTTTTGCCAAGGGTGTTTTGATTTTTAATTTTATAAAATTAAAAATCAAAACATCCTTGGCAAAAAATTGTGGAAAAATTAAATGAGATAAATTTATTAGAACCGACTATTATAAGAGAAATACATATGTGATGACAATGCAGATATTAAATACCGGATGAATATAAATGCTGCCACAAAAAATATTTAAATCATATCTCAAAATATGGTTAGTTGATAAATGTTTTCATTCAGTAAGTGAATTTTTGTATAGGAGATATTATAAGAACACTTTAATTAAATTATATATAATAGCTTATAATAAAGTTAAATACTTATATTCCTTGACATCTTTTTTGTAAACCATATTTTATTGCGATATAAATGAATAATGTTGATAAACAAGAAGATGAAACGGGTAGCTTAATGGTTAGAGCAGTCGCCTGAGTTGCGAAATATCGTGGGTTCGGGTCCGATCTCAGAGGGCCAGGGACAAACTGTATTTTTTAAGAATTTTTAATTAAGAATATTTTAAAAAGTTTATCATGTTCATTATTCATACATAATAACAGGATTTTTTTATATTTCTTGTACATGACCCAAGTTATAGTAAAAAGTAAGCAATCAGATATAGACTGTAACTCTACAAATATGCGTGTATAGCATTAAAGCAAAGCAGCAACATTAAAATTATAGTGTAATAATATATAGACAGTGAATTTAATTTCCTGGATATAGAAAAAAATGTCTGCCATACATAACCTTACGACTGTCACGGTTATAATCAGTGGTCAGAATTAGGTAGAGTTATTCATGTACTTACACTGATTTCATACAGCGAAAGAATAAAGTGGATATGCCTCAAATCCCGAGATTAATTTTAAAGAGCAGAAAAAATCCCGTGATTTTTTAAATAAAAAGTTATTTACTTTTACACAATTTAAACTACTGCACGCACGACGTTGCCAAACTTAAATCAATGAAAGAAAGAATTAAAGAAATCCCGGGATCATTTCGATGCAAGTACATAAATAACTCTACCTAATTCCGACCTCTGGTTATAATAATAACATATGTAAAATTAACCACGTGTCTAGTTTCGGATATTCCTCTGATATCCGTGGATACCACAATCATTCGTATATACAAATTATATCGCTTTTATGATCACTTTAAATAACATCTAAGTGCCATTAACATAAAAAAGACTACGTAGTGCTGTATTACAACAGTATTGGATAACACATAATGTGCTCAATAACGTTAAGTGATGTTTTGGAGGCACAAAATATGTACAGTCGGCAAAATAATGACCCGAGAGAACCGTTCATTAGCGAAAGTAACATTACGCGTTATACGTAAAACAGGCAATTGTTGACCTTTCATTCTTATTACTTGTTATGTAACAAAAACAGTGTAATAATACTTGAAATGGAAATAGTGAATGAAAATTAGCCGCCGACTCTTCTTTTATTTATTATATTATTTTGTTTATATCCTTTCTTTTATTTATATCCTTTATTTTATTTATATTTTAAACAGGACCTGTTCAGGGAGAAAGAGAGACAAAAAAATACGGGCGGCAAAGTCGCCGGACGGACTACCAAATTTTATTAAAATGTTACTATTATGCTCTACGCATACATGTTCTTATTTCCTAGTAAATTAAAAATATACAATTCTAAAAATATCATCATTAAAATCTCATCTCATCTTAGTTAAAGAGTATTATGTTTATTTGTGTTAGTGTAAAGCGCGGCATTGTGTGCGGCATATATCTGCCTGGAGCGATCTGAAGTCTAGATCGTGCCCTATATCTAAGTAATGTACATACATGTATTGTCAAATAGAAGATTCTACCAACAATATGATTTTATACTGAAAACTACGTATGAAGGACGCCCCAGGTTATTGAATATGTACGAAATTTGAATATGTAAATTATACAGGTGTTAAGTATATTGATCACACCTCAAATTCATAAAACCTCTCTCTTTCTACCTTTCTTTTGGTGTCGGGAGTTGATAAAGAAATAGAGACAAATAAATATTGCCTTTTTTCTTTCTACACAGTTTTCCAAAAAAATATTTAATAATTTATAGCTTAGAGTTTATTTATAAATAGGTATAGAATGTTGAAAGATTGTATTTGCGAAACTTTTTGAAGGGAGCTAGACCGAAGAGCATAGTATGCAGCCTTATACTTGTAACGTTGGTTCGTACCACATTTTCAACTAATGATAATTTTATTATAAAAACTGAAAAGCGTGACGGCCGGCACGCGTGCATGCTCTACGTACACACGCTAACACGTTGCCTTTGACAACAGCATCGTTAAAACGAACCTTATGGCAATGTTAGTTAGTGCTAAAGTTGACGTTTAAATTGGATTAGTTGACCGCTACATTGCTTGTTCGACGCGCCGTGAAACAAGAATAGGTGGTGGTAACTCGTCCGTTGTTTAATAGGAATCCATTAATTACAAAGTGATGGATATCATCAAAAGAGACAAAGTTAAGTACGTGTTAGCCTAGTGATAATACAATACCCATAGAAATTTAAAACAGCAGTACCGTATACTTTGATTTTGAGAGGCAAAGATTTAAGATTATTTGTTTCCTAAAAACTGCTCACATTGAAGAAAGTGGAAGTAGTGTTATTTGTTGTTAAAATATGATTGAAACTGTTTGTTAATTAATGCATCACTTGGGAAACGTCTGGACCTCAAATAGGTACCTAATATGTGTCAATAAACGAAATGAAAGGGAGAACGTTAGATTTTTTCCAGGGGATATATTTTCGAACTGCCTTTTGTACTGTTATTGCGAAAGGCAATTGCATTTTAGTTTTCATTAGTCTACTAGAACTCTCTGTTAAAGTCTGATCGTGAACTGGATTTATCGCCAAAAAAAGAAATTACTCACTCTGGGCTTTGCCGGAAGTGATCCACCGCGAACTGCAGCAACGGATGTCTACCGTCGTGTTGTGGTGTGGTCTGTTCCCTCCTCTCATCTCTCATATCTCGGTCTCGCTCCCTCTCTCTATCCCGAGGCGCGGGGGATGTGTGCCGCCTCTCCGACAGTTCCGTCTCCTCTCTGGACGCACGACTCTCTCTCATTTCCCGGGAGTCTCTGACGTCACGCGTCTCTCTGCTGTCACGTTCTGACACTCTCTCCTTCGCAACTCCATTTGTGGTCGGTTTCGGTTGAATCTGAAACAATATTGAATTTTTATTGGGTATGGTGAATTGAGTAATATTTTGCATTAAAATAGTATCGATAAAATAAATTTAGCTGAACGGGAATCTACAAATAATCAGATTTAATTGTTGTTAAGAATAAAATAATTAATCTAATATAAAACAACGCTAAATGTGATTAAACTTTTAATAGGCCTTGGTACTCGAGGCTCAGACTCGGTGCACAAAATGTATACATATTAGATACGAAAGTACTTCATAAATAAGTAAAACATTAAAATAAATTATAAAAAAAAAATTAAAATCGATCTATAAGTAATTTTGAAATGACACACCGACAATGCGGCAATGCAGGGCAACTATGGAGAAATATTGAATAAATGTATAAATGTATATTTTCATATAATTTATGAATATATACATTTGTTAGAATACATGTTCATTCATTTGTAACAATAGCATACCATTTCGTAACTTGCACACTAGTTAGACTTTTGAAAATGTACTTAATTATTATAATACAGGATAAAACGCGGGAAGGAATGCAGCAATTTCATTCGTTTCCTTGTATTTTGTTTGGAATTTTAGCTCATGTTTATTTAATTAAGTAAAAAAGGCAGTTTCAGCGATTCGTACGTACTTAAAAAAAAACCAAATCCTTATTAGAGTCACCAAAAGCAGGCAAAGTAAATTAATAAAAGGTCACTATCATCAGCTGATTAATGTCACCAATGTTAGACCACAGCACGCAGGACTAGTGGGGAGTGGTCACTGCTGACAGACACTGCTTGGACCAACGGTTAAGCATGCCTTCCAAAACACAGAGGAGGAAGGAATAATACGAGGGTCAAACTGAAAGTTCTTAGAACTGGCCACTTATAAACAATATAATAAAAAAATAATTCTAAAATTTGAAAATATAACTCTTTGCCAATATTACTGAGTATATATTTCATTCATTTGTCATTTGTTTTACGATTTGGCGGCAAATTGAAAATTGTCTGTGTCACGTCATCATGAATTTAACACGAGAAAATTTTCGTGCAATGATTTTTTATGACTTTCGATGTCATTTAAGTCAACAAGAAAGTTATGATAGACTACGATTGGCCTTTCACGATGAAGCCCCATCTCGTGCGACTGTTTACAACTGGTTTAATGAGTTTAAACGTGGTCGCACTAATCTCACTGATGATTTACGTGAGGGACGGCCTTCTACGGCGACGACTGAAGATAACATCTGTGTTGTGCGGCGTATGATAGAGACTGACAAAAGAGTGACCTATCAACAGATTCGGACAAGCTTAGGCATCGGTATGAGTCAAGTGCACAAAATCCTCCACGAACATTTAGCGGTCAGGAAGCTTTGCGCCCGGTGGATACCTCATAATTTGACTGAGGCTCAAAAACTCCATCGTGTGGATTGGTGTCGTAAAATGATTGAAAGATTTAACGGAGGTGACTCAAATGCTGTGTTCGACATACTAACAGGTGACGAAAGCTGGATTTACTGTTATGATCCTAAAACCAAAAGACAATCTGCTCAGTGGGTGTTTCCTTTCGAGGAGTTGCCAACTAAAGTGAAGAGAGATCGAAGTGCGGGAAAAAAAATGGTGGCCTCGTTCTTTGGAAGGATAGGTCATTTTGCAACAATTGTGTTAGAGGATCAAAAAAGTTTCTGCAGAATGGTACACTACCAATTGTTTGCCACTTGTCTTGGAAAAAGTTCGAGAGAAACGACCTCGCAGTAGGATCCTCCTTCACCACGACAACGCCTCGTCGCACACCGCCAAGCGAACGATCGACTATTTGGCGACATCAAACGTTGAATTACTGGGTCACCCGCCGTATAGCCCCGACCTCGCGCCTTGTGATTTTTATTTATTTCCAAAAATTAAAGAAAAACTTAAAGGAAAGCGGTTTATGAATGCTGAAGAAGCGGTGGCTGCGTATCGCGATGCCATTGAAGAGACCCCTAAGGACGAGTGGGCAAAGTGCTTTTCCCAGTGGTTCCATCGCATGCAGCGGTGTATTGACGTGAATGGACAATATTTTGAAAAGATATAATAAAACTAATAACTGGCTAATGTAATCAGTTTTTGATTTTCTAAGAACTTTCAGTTTGACCCTCGTATATTTTTGGTCACCCATCCAATGACAAGTCCTTACGAAAGTTGGTTAACCTGCGCATCGCAGACCATAACTACGACATCGGGCTCCTCGCAACATATCGATCATCCACTTTGTACTTTCGGGGATCCTGCCTTTTCGCCGAAAATTAATTCGCCTATTATCATTATGACTTAGCAATCAACGTTTCGCCTATGTTTCACTTAAACATTTAACAAATTTTTATATGGCAATATTTTACAACAATTCTACCAAATTACTGTTAAATGCATGATAATAATAAGTTTATTATTAAGTTCCCTTTTCATACATTGATATTTTGACATTCTTTCCGCTGAGTATTTATTTATTTAAACTTCATTGCACAATTAAAGTGTACATTTAGCCGACTTAATGCCATTAGGCATTTTTTACCAGTCAACCGGAGAGTTAAGACAAGGAGAATTTAATAAGGCGGTGCTATACAAAAATTAAAAAAGAAGAGGAGGAGAAACATATGTAAAAGTCAACAGTTAGTTAAGATTAAATTAAATTAGATACCTGAACTGATTTAGGTCACATTAATGGTGACATTAGGTGTGCAGAATCGACTTAACTAATACAGCATTTGGTAAACAATAAACAACATTTTGAAAAGTGTCATTGTAAAAAATCACGCCAAATTGTGCTCATTGGTTTGGAAATAAAACTATAGTTTTATGACAAGTTAGCATATAAATATTCAGCTTAATAAAATTTTACGACTCGTTAGTTGGTAAGTTATAATCGGCCAAACAATTTTCAGTGAAAAGGCAAAGAACTGTTACGATATAGTTTAAAACAACAACTCATCACATCATAGGCATGTTACGTATACGTGATGTGCTCACAGACAGCTCAGGAAAGCGTGAACGAATCAGTATACATTCTTTGACATCACATTGAAAAGTACTACCACTACCACGTAGATGATAATGCACGTTGATTGGTGCATTACAGATGTTTTGCACTGCGATCATTGAATAGTAGAGAGAGAAACTGCACATGGGAATGCACAACAGTAGAATTGTAATTTTAATGATTCAAGAAAATGTATTAATTGGTACTGAATAAGAATAAAACGTTTTATTCGATAGATTGATAGCGGTATATTTATAAGATCAGTCAGCGGTTAAGTAATCTGGATAATGTTTTCCCACATCTTCTTCAATCATCGCTATAAGTATTACATTTTTTAAATCTCAATTAGTTTAACAACTAAACCTCTCTTCTGGATGACTCGAATTGATATAGATTATATTAATATTCGGTTATTAGCACATAAATATATTTTTTTATATCTGTGATATATTTCTGTGGTTAGTATTTTAAGTTTATCGCATTCAAATAAACGCAGCGGACGGACTTCATTTTGCCCACCTACAAGCTAGAATTCAATATACACAATTTATCATTGTAAATCCAACTCATGCATGTCGGATTGTCTCAAAAAGATCTAAAACTGATCTCACAAAACTATTATGTGAATGAATGACACCTTAATAGATCACTAATTTGTTTAATTGGAGAAAAGTGTGGTCACATTTGAGTGCATGCAAAGTGTTCAAATATTTTCTAGCGTCCATTGTGATGACGTGTTTTATATTAATTTCATATAAAACCATAAATACATTAATTTTACTTGTAATATTTATGGCTTAAGCTTTGACTTAAGTGTGCGCATTAGGCTGACGATAAAACAGACAAAATAAGGAGAGCCAAAATGTATTATTATTTAATTACTCAAAAACCATTGTGATTATAGAAAAAGTAACTTGAAAAAGTTTCCCATTTTTACCCTTTGGTTACGAAACCCAAAAAAAAAACGAAGTAATATCATATGTTGTTTCATTAAAGAGATAAATTCGTGTTTAAGTCCAGTTTCTTCGTTTAGACACAAGTTTCGCTGTTTTCAATTACAGTTTATTTAGACTTTTTTTTGTTCATGCATAATTAATTTGATTTTAGTCATTTGCAGTGGACAGCCTATTATATCTGTATTTATAATTATGGTTTTTCCTTTACTATTTTTTACTTAATGTTCAGTTGTAGAAAAAATCATATATTTAGTCTTTTATTGTACAAGCTGCGATTAAAAATGTAATAAACAAAATTATACCTTCTGTTTTCGTTTCAAAGTTTTTCTCCCTAGAGTTCTAATCACACCGTAAATGTTCTCCATATCGACAGTAACTATTCACGTTCACTTATAAATCACTAAAACTCTCACTAAACAGACAAAACACACATTGTCCCAGAGAAAGCATATAAGTCACATTTACCTTAAAAATGTATCTAAGCAAATGACTTTTTTTTTCATTTATTTATGTAGATAATTTTAAAAAGGTTATTATATATTGTTTTACATATAAAGCAGGTGTGATTTCCGCGCTGCATTGGCGGAGTGCAGCGATGTTGTGCGCGCACGCAGCCCCAGGCGTGCGCATGCGCCTCCGTCGACATATCTTTATAAATATTGATGCAATCTCGCATTGTTCGCTCCGATTAATCGCTAATTTCTTTCGTAATGCAAAATAGACTTTATTGAATCTATGAGTCAGTTATAAGACTGTGTATCATTATTTTTTACGGTTAATATTTATTTATAAATTATAGCGTTAGTGCCCATATTTGTTTTTTTTTTTATAAATAAAATCCCTTTAGCTATGTTATAAGTTATATAAAATAATATAAAGACATTTTCATTCAAAAGGAAAAGGAAAAAACATCATTGAAAAATCCCGAAATAAAAAAAATATAACAAAAAGAAATATCAGTGATCAAAATGTAAGTCACTGTGACAATGAGAATGTACAGTACACACATTCTTATAATGTTACACTAACTATTTAAACCTCAGCACA